GGGGGTAGTGTCCGAAACGAAGTTTCTGAGTCTAGGTTTCTGAAGCTAAGCTTCTGAAGACATAGTAGCTTCTGAAGCGAAGTCTGTGGAGCGGAGATAGTTTTCTGAAGTGAAGTTTCTGAAGCGGGGGTAGTGTCCGAAACGAAGTTTCTGAGTCTAGGGTTCTGAAGCTAAGCTTCTGAAGCCATAGTAGCTTCTGAAGCGAAGTCTGTGGACGGAGATAGTTTTCCTGAATGAAGTTTCTGAATTCCTGAAGCGGGGTTGTGTCCGAAACGAAGTTTACTGAGCCTAGGTTTCTGAGCTAAGCTTCGAGCCATAGTAGCTTCTGAGACGCGAAGTCTGTGGAGCGGAGATAGTTTTCTGAAGTGAAGTCTGTGGAGCGGAGATAGTTTTCTGAAGTGAAGTTTCTGAAGCGGGGGTAGTGTCCGAAACAAAGTTTCTGAGTCTATTCTTCTGAAGCTAAGCTTCTGAAGCCATAGTAGCTTCTGAAGCGAAGTCTGTGGAGCGGAGATAGTTTTCTGAAGTGAAGTTTCTGAAGCGGGGGTAGTGTCCGAAACGAAGTTTCTGACTCTAGGTTTCTGAAGCTAAGCTTCTGAGGCCATAGTAGCTTCTGAAGCGAAGTCTGTGGAACGGAGATAGTTTTCTGAAGCGAAGTCTGTGGAGCGGAGATAGTTTTCTGAAGTGAAGTCTGTGGAGCGGAGATAGTTTTCTGAAGTGAAGTTTCTGAAGCGGGGGTAGTGTCCGAAACAAAGTTTCTGAGTCTATTCTTCTGAAGCTAAGCTTCTGAAGCCATAGTAGCTTCTGAAGCGAAGTCTGTGGAGCGGAGATAGTTTTCTGAAGTGAAGTTTCTGAAGCGGGGGTAGTGTCCGAAACGGAGTTTCTGAGCCTAGGTTTCTGAAGCTAAGCTTCTGAGGCCATAGTAGCTTCTGAAGCGAAGTCTGTGGAGCGGAGATAGTTTTCTGAAGCGAAGTCTGTGGAGCGGAGATAGTTGTCTGAAGAAGTTTCTGAAGAGGGGGTAGTGTCCGAAACGAAGTTTCTGAGTCTAGGCTTCTGAGGCTAAGCTTCTGAAGCCATACTAGCTTCTGAAACGAAGTCTGTGGAGCGGAGATAGTTTTCTGAAGTGAAGTTTCTGAAGCGGGGGTAGTGTCCGAAACGGAGTTTCTGAGTCTAGGTTTCTGAAGCTAAGCTTCTGAGGCCATAGTAGCTTCTGAAGCGAAGTCTGTGGAGCGGAGATAGTTTTCTGAAGCGAAGTCTGTGGAGCGGAGGTAGTTTTCTGAAGTGAAGCCTCTGAAGCGGGGGTAGTGTCCGAAACGGAGCTTCTGAGTCTAGGTTTCTGAAGCTAAGCTTCTGAAGCCATAGTAGCTTCTGAAGCATTATACCGACATTCTTCTATTGTTGGATGCGGTTCGCCATCAGCACCATCAGGCTTCTTCGAGGCACGCTCGTCTGCCGACATTGGGGCGTTGACAACGCAACAACGATCTGGCCCGTGTTTTGCTCCCTGCTCCTCCTCCTTCTCCTCCTCCTCCTGCTCCTCCTGCGCCTCCTGCTCGTCCTGCTGCTGCTCCTACTCTGCTCCTGCTGCTACTCCTGGTCCTGCTCCTACTCCACTGTGGCTTCTGCTCCCCTTGTCCTGATCCTTCCTGCTCCTCCTGCCCCTCCTGCTGCTGCTCCTACTGCTCCTGCTGGTGCTCCTGGTCCTACCCCTATTCCAGCTCCCCTTGTCCTGCTCCTCCTCCTTCCTCCTGCTCTTTTTCCTGGCACTGACGCTGCCGCTGCCGCTGCCACAGCCTGCTGGCGCCTTGTCAGTTGCTGGGTGACATTGTGGCTGCTGACACAGAATTGTACAGGACGGTGGTTCAAGAGTAAACCAACCAGAAGCCTGGGGCGTGCAAGGCGGATCTTACTACCAGCGTGCGGACAGCACAAAACGGGCTGAGTCAACACAAGCAATATCCTCTTTGCTTCCTTCCCTACAACAAATGGTGCCCAGAAGGGTACTGGTTTTCCCCAACGCATTTTTGCTTTGTTGCTTTACAAGGAAGGCGCTCATCTGCGCAACAATACGAAGCAACTGGAGACGCGCAAGGCCCGACCAGCGCTGTGGCAGCGCCAGAGGCCCGCAAACCTGCCAAGGTGCGGCCAACCTGTGCCTCCAGGGGAAACCCAAAAGAGTTGGTAGGTGAAATTGAAAAAGATGCAGACGATGCAAAGCACGCCAGTTTCTCGGTGCAACAAACAATCTTCCGACACATTACCAGCGCATAGCCAGGAATTGAATGAGTTGAAGGCGTTTGCGCGTTGTTCCCTCGCCCCCTTGCAGCTGTGTCGCGCTCCTGAGAAAGAACCTGAACAACCAGTTTGCATTCTGTGATCTTACTTCCAACGAATAAAACGCATCAACCTCTTGCCTGGTGATCCCCTGGGGTGTTCACAACCAACATTCCGTCCAGCGGCACAACAACCATGAAAATCACGCAGCAACTAACACAACCCGCCATTTGCAGCGCGTGGCAACCTTCTTCTTCTTCTGCTTCTGCTTCTTCTTCAGACATTCAAATCAACAAGCCAGCCAAATTTGTGAAACGCGTTGCCTTGCGCATCTTGAGGAGAAGGTGGCAAGTACGACCTCGGCCCGGCACAAGTGCTTGGCTCTAAGCACAAAGCAAGCTAGTGAGCAAACCAGCAGGTCATGCCTGAAACCGGCCAGCAAGACTGCTTTGAACAGCCATCAAGTCTCTCTTGAAGGAGCATCTCAGAGTCTGCGATTGTTTACAGCAGGAAAAATATTCTTCTGAGCTCCCACACTGTCTTGCCATCAGCGGCCTGAAAACCAAAAGGGGTAAAAGGGATGGGCGCTACTTCGAAAGAATCCCGCTGATTCATCTCTGACTCCCGATCCCGCGGCAGTCGATCCCCGCCTCGCTACATCGCACCGGACGCGGACCAAGCTGGATACTTCAAGCAGATGCTGAGAATTACTAGCAATTCTCGCAAATTCTCAGCAAATTCACCAAGTTCGCCTGTCCAAGTTGAATGCTTCCCTGGCCAACAGCTTGTCCCTGGCGCACCCGGAGCAAAGCCTCTGCGCTACGGGGGGGGGCTCACAATGTCCAACAAACGCCAGCAAAATACTTAAAACATGTGCCTCAAAAAGAACGCATCCATGTGTGTGTGTGAGCCATTCAAAAAAGTTAGAAGGGGCATGTAGTCTTCGCAAGAAAGAAACACGTGACACGGCAATGTGTTCTCAGGGACGATGCGTGCTTCTGCGCCAATCCCTCCGAGCCAGTGCAGTTTGCGTGCTCCGCGGTACATCTGCCTGTGCATGTTTCTATTGAGGCCGTCTGACTCTAGCCTTCTGAAAACCCAGAAAGGTCATGGGAAAACGCAGCTTCGGTTGACAACCGGCACACGCGAAACAAAACGCTGCCCTTAGCGTGAAAAAGAATCTGTTCGCTCACGAGGGAGGGTCGAAAAAGCAGTCTGTTTCCACTGATCAACACATCAGCCAAATCACTGGCAAAGGAAAGTGTTCTTGGCAGCCTCAATTGGATAGTGCAGAAAACACAGTTGGGGAATCCCAGACCAAACAAGCCCAAAGAAGCCTCCATGCGTCATGCATCTTCTCTTGCGCAATGCGCTTGCGCACACAGGGCCCTGCGCCGTGCCTTGCAGTTGTCTGGGTGCCCGGAGCCTCGGCTGTTTTGCAAAGGCTCTTTGTGCAGAAATCACGTGGCTCTCCCGTAAAGTTTCTTGCCAAAATCCTTCTCGTTGCGGACAATAGCTTTCTCGGATACCTCGTTTGGCCAGTTCGCTTGATGGCACGGGGTCCAACTGTTCAGCGTATGGCGACGCTGTTGCCACCGCGCGGGGCCACGGCTGCCAAGAGACTCCATGGGCCCAGCCTTAAGGCGCGGCGCAAGCGCAACCTGCCTGCCATTTATTTTCTATCATGTGGCTGATCTATGCAGCTAGAGCCAACCTGACCCAACATCCAATGATTTGTGAAAGCCGCAATTTCTTGGCAAAATGCGTGCTGAAATGCCACACCTGCAACAGCTGCACCCGCCTGCACGCCGTCAGCAGCACTTTTGGTCACGCTTCCCCACTTCTCTCCCTCTCTCTCTCCTGATTTCTCGTCTTCAGGTTGCGCGAACGGGACTTCGGCCTTTCTATTAGCAATCGGAATCTAATCCAAACAATATTAGAAGGAACGTCCATTGTACCGAAACTGGTTAAACTGCGGTGTGTCCGAGGAATGTTTTTATATATGCATGTATATAGGCATGAGTACACAGCATATATACATTCAGCGTAATGCTTGGCGTCGACCTTGAACAGCATGGTCTTCGCTTTCGGAATGTATAAATGAAAGCCCGGCTTAGAATTTGCCAGCTCAGAAGAGCGGCTTGATCTCGCCTCAGCTGTCCATGTGGTGCGTGCATAGCGTCTTAGACGAATGTGGGCAAGAAATACGCGAAAGCAGTCAACTCTTTTCCGGCCGCAACTGTGCTGGTTAGGCGGTGGGGTCGGTCTTAACGGGTCCTTCCCATAGATTCCGGAGGAAAACGGTAAAACGGTAAAACGGTTTTACCGTTCTCCCGGTAAAACGGCAAAACGGTACAACGGCAAAACGGTAAAACACGTCCCGTCACAGGCTTGAGAGGGGACAACTCCTGCTGTACTTGGGCTGTTGCTACAGCATCCGAAGGTGCGCTTTTTCACCCATGAATTAGACACCATGGTCCCGCCAAGGCAAAATGTTTGTTGAGAGCACCGAAGTTGGTAGTCTTTTCTGAAGCGACTGGTGCTCTTTTGCTACTAAAAGGCTGAGCCACAAAATTGCTCAAGTCCCCCTTCTCTCAACTTCCCAAACCCAGGTATATTGGGAACAGCTGTTGCTCTTCCCAAACCCTTCATCCCTGTTGCACAAGCCGCTGCCAACCCCGGCTTTATATCTATTTTTCCCGGAAGCATTGCGAAGGGTTCTTCTTCTAAAAGCGGCTGCCAACTTCACCTGCCAACTTTTCATGCCAACTTGTCGAGAGTTACTTCACCTGCCAACTTCTCATGCCAACTTGTCGAGAGTTACTTCACCTGCCAACTTCTCATGCCAACTTGTCGAGAGTTACTTCACCTGCCTACTTCTCATGTCAACTTTTTGAGAGTTACTTCACCTGCCAACTTCTCATGTCAACTTTTTGAGAGTTACTTCACCTGCCAACTTCTCATGTCAACTTTTCGGCTGTTATCTCATTCTACTAAAAGCACAAGCTAATTTGTCGGGTGTTACTTCACTATCCTAAAAACACAAGCTAACTTTTCTGTTCTACCTTCACTTCTCGACTCTTAATTCTTCTTCTTTTTCTGGCGGGGGTAGGCCCGACAGGAGCTTACGAAACGCACCCCTCTGCGGAGATCGTGCGTGTCGAAGCGCTCTCGCTGTGGCGCCGTGCGAATTTGTCTTGAGCCCGATGAACCCTCTGCGGGGATCGTGCGTGTCGAAGCGCTCTCGCTGTGGCGCCGTGCGAATTTGTCTTGAGGGCGGCGAACCCTCTGCGGAGATCGTGCGTGTCGAAGCGCTCTCGCTGTGGCGCCGTGCGAATTTGTCTTGAGCCCGATGAACCCTCTGCGGGGATCGTGCGTGTCGAAGCGCTCTCGCTGTGGCGCCGTGCGAATTTGTCTTGACCGGCGAACTGCGAACCCTCTGCGGAGATCCTGCGTGTCGAAGCGCTCTCGCTGTGGCGCCGTGCGAATTTGTCTTGAGCCCGATGAACCCTCTGCGGGGATCGTGCGTGTCGAAGCGCTCTCGCTGTGGCGCCGTGCGAATTTGTCTTGAGCCCGGCGAACCCTCTGCGGAGATCGTGCGTGTCGAAGCGCTCTCGCTGTGGCGCCGTGCGATTTTCTTGCTCGCGAAACGGCTTTTGGAAGTTGTCTCGTGGTGTGCGCGCCTGCTTTCGCAATCCCGCGGTCCCGGGTTCGATTCCCCCCTGGTCCGCGGCAGCTCCGGCTTGAAAATCGCAGCTTTTAAGTACAAACGTAGTACGCGGAGCGTGCTCCTGCAGCTCCGGCTGGAAAATCGCAACTTTTAAGTACAGACGTAGTATGCGGAGCGTGCTCCCGCAGCTCCGGCTGGAAAATCGCAACTTTTAAGTACAAACGTAGTACGCGGAGCACACTCCCGCAGCTCCGGCTGGAAAATCACAACTTTTAAGTACAAAAAATAGTACGCGAAGTACATTCCCACAGCTCCGGCAGCACTTGCTCAGAGCAACTTGCGCAGAGCAACTTGCGCAGAGCAACTTGCACAGAGCACTTGCACAAAGCACTTGCGGAGAGCAACTTGCACAGACCAACTTGCACAGAGCACATGCGCAAAGCGCTTGCACGGAGCAACTGGCGCAGAGCAACTTGCTCAGAGCACTTGCGCAGAGCAACTTGCATAGAGCGCTTGCGTGCAGCAGCTTGCAGAGAGGAACTTGCGCGCAGCAGCCTGGAACGATGCAGCTTGCGCAGACCACTTTCGTGAGAAATCGCGCGGCGCAGTTCGTGCAAAGCACATTGCGCCGAGCAGACTCGCGCAGAGCCAACTTGCACAGAGCCAGTTGCGCAGAGCCACTCGCGAAAAGTAGCTTGCGTAGACCCAACTTTCACAGAGCCAAGCTGCGCAGAGCCATCTTGCACAGAGCTAAGTTGCGCGAGCGTGCTTTGCAGAAACTGTGGCCGTCGTGTAAGCTTTGCTATTGATTGCTCTTCCTTTTGCTTGTAATTCGTTTCGAGCTTTACGAGCTTTACTCTTCTTGTTTTAACGGATGTAAATATGTGGGATCGAGCACTGCCATGTTTCCTCTCGTAGGACGATGAGATGGAGCTCTCATGTGACCATACGCATTGAGCATCGCCGCGCGCGGACACGCTCGCCGCAGCGATGTAAAGGTGTCCCCGCGGCTGGATGAGCACCTGGGGAAAAATGCTTTCGGGCCAATCGTCCTCTAGTTGTATCCATCTTGTCCTAGTATCATACCCTGCCTTGAGCTGTCTTATCCTGTTTTATCCTATCTTATCCCACCATATCCTATCTTATCCTATGTTTGTACCTATCTATCCACCTACCTATATATCTATACATCATATCTACCCTATCTGCCCGAACTGTTCAAATTAGATCATGGTGTGTGTCTTGTCTGCATCGCACGTCCTATTTATCTGATCTGCCGTATGTGTCTTGTCTACCTTGTTTACCATATTTATGAGATCTATACTATCTGTCTCATTTTGGATTACCATAGCCGGTCCTGTCTTCTCCAACGTTGACCTACCTTATCGTATCTTACCTTGTACGAACCTATCTTATCCTGTGTCTCCCACCATGGCATTCATTACCGTGTCTTGTCGTATGTTAACCTATCTTATCCTATGTGTCTATTGATCTATCTATATATACATACATTTATCGCCCTGTCTACCTATCTGTCAATCTATCTATGCATCATATCTATCCTATCTGTCTATCCATCTATCTAAGTACCTATCTATCTGTTTATATCTGTATCGTACCTTGTCTTACCCCGCCTCATCCTGTTACCCCATCTTATCCTGTTAAACCTTATCTTACCCTATGTTACCATACCTTATCCCGTCTTATGACCTTTCACCCTATCTTACTCCATGTTTTTTATGCGATCTTACCCTATGTTACCATACCTTATCCCGTCTTATGACCTTTCACCCTATCTTACTCCATGTTTTTTATGCGTTATATTGGCTTGTTCTATTGTTCATATGTTATCCATGTGTCTCTCTAACTATCTATCTATCTACCGACTTGATACGATAGGGCTAGACAAGATAAGAGAGGATACCATGGGATTAGATAGGATACGATGGGTAAGATAGGATAGCGCAGGAGAAGTCAATTAAGACATGAAAAGACAGGCTAGTATATGATAATAAAAGACACGGTAGGTAATGGGAAAAAGGTAGACGATGGATATGATAGACAATTAGATAAGATGGATAAGAGACACAGGACATAGATAAGAGAGAACAACATAGATAAGACAGCTACGATGAGATAGGACAGATGGGACAGATGGTATAGATAGGACAGATAGGACAGATAGGACAGATAGGACAGACAGGATAGACAGGATAGAGACAAATAGCAAAGAAAGGACAGATAGGATAGATAGGGCAGGTATGATAGATAGGGCAGATAGGATAGATAGGATAGATAGGATAGATAGAAAGGTAGGTGGTTGTCTTGTCTTACCCTATCTGGTCCTATGTATCAGTCCATCTACCTACCTACCAAACAATGTAGCTTGTCTATGGTTTGTATCCCATCTACCTGATCTGTCTTATGTCTTCTCTACCGCAGCTGTCTTATCTATCACGTCTACGCTACCTACCTTATCTACATTGTCTACCTTACCTACCTTTGCTTTGTCCTGTCCGGCCAATCCTGCCGCACCTTATGCTATCTTATCCTGTCATGTCCTATCTTGCCCTAGCTTACCCCATATTAGCCTTTCTTACAGTGTTTCATCCTATCTTATCCTATCGTAGCTGATCACATCCTATGTGTCTACCTGTCTATCCATCTATCTATAAATCCGCCGACCCCATGCCTGGTCCAGAATGGACCATGCTTTCGGCATGGGGGCGGTGTGTTCTGTGTTGCTTTTGTTGATATGCTTTCTATAAGTTTAATGTGAATATGATTATGTAGATATATATATAACCTATATGTCCCTTGGGGCGGCCCTTGGGGCTGGTTTCTACGTCGGCTGGATTTCTGGATTTCTGGATTTCTGGATCTCTGGATTTCTGGATCTCCCCCCCCGCCCCCCCTCCGCCCCCCCTGCACTCTCTGCTCCCCCCCCCCCTTTCCCTTCCGCCCCCCCTCCCCCCCCTTCCCTCCCCCTTCCCCCCCCCCCATTCCTCCCTAGCTGCCCCCCCCCCGGCCCGGGCCCGCCCCCCCCTTCCACACACCTCTTCCCCCCCCTTCCCCCCCCCCACCCCCTCCCCCCCCCTCCTCCCCCACTCCACCCCCCTCCTCTCCTCCCCCCCCCTCTCCCACCCCCCCCCCCCTCCCTCCCCCCTCCCCCCCCCCTCCCCCCGGCTTCTTCCCGTAGTCTTCCGTAGTCTTCCGGCTTCTCCCAGTAATCTTCCGTAATCTTTCGGCTTCTTCCCGTAGTCTTCCGTAGTCTTCCGGCTTCTTCCCGTAGTCTTCCGTGGTCTTCCGCCTTCTTCCCGTAATCTTCCGTAATCTTTCGGCTTCTTCCAGTAGTCTTTCGTAGTCTTCCGGCTTCTTCCCGTAGTCTTCCGTAGTCTTCCGTAATCTTCCGTAGTCTTCCGTAGTCTTCCGGCTTCTTCCCGTAGTCTTCCGAAATCTTTCAAGCTTCTTCCCGTAAATTTCCGCAATCTTTCGGCTTCTTCCCGTAGTCTTCCGTAATCTTCCGGCTTCTTCTCCTAGTCTTCCGATACTGTTTCGGGACCAAACAACGCGCGTGTCCTGGGCTTTCGGGTTCTTCCCTAGGCTTCGGGTAGTCTTCCCCCACCCCTCCGCCCCCCCCCTGTGTCTGTCTATGTCTGTCTACGTATCTGCATCTGTCTTCGTGTCCGCGAAGACCCCCCCTGCCCCTGCGTGTCTGTCTGTCACTCTTTGTGTCTGTCTGGGTCTGTCTGCGTCTGTCTTCGTGTCCGCGAAGACCCCTTGCGTGTCTGTCTCTGTCTCTTTGTGTCTGTCTGTGTCTGTCTGTGTCTGTCTACGTATCTGCGTCTTTCTTCGTGTCCCCCCCCCCCGCGTGTCTGTCTGTGTATTTGTGTGTCTTTGTGTCTGTCTGTGTCTGTCTACATATCGCGTGCTTTCTCTCGTCCCGGGCCGAAATTCTAAGGTGTGTGGGGGCGGCGGAACCAGGCCGCAGGCCATTAAATATGTGTATATATATATATATATTGCACAGCGCTGCCACCCCCCACCCCCCACAATGGTCATGAGTCAGACAAGGACCCCCCCCCGGTGGTTGTGATCCTGTGGTCGGGTTGTTGTGGTTTAGGGTTGGTTTAGAATTGGTTTAAGGTGTGCTCAGGGTGTATTTATGGTTAGTTTAGGGTTAGTTTAGCGTTGTTTTATGTTGATTTAGAATTGGTTTAGGGTTTGTTTACGTTTAGGGTTTATTGTTTAGGGTTTAGTTTGGTGTGTTTAGGGTTCGTTTAGGGTTTGGTTTGTGTTAATTTAGGATTTGTTTGGGGCTTGTTTAGGTTTAGGGCTTATTGTTTAGGTTTTGGCTTGGTGTGTTTAGGGTTCGTTTAGGGTTGGTTTGTGTTTTAGGATTGGTGTTTTGGGTTTGTTTAGGTTTAGGGTTTGTTGTTTAGGGTTTGGTTTGGTGTGTTTAGGGTTCGTTTAGGGCTTGGTTTGTGTGTTAGGATTGGTTTAGGGTTTGTTTAGGTTTAGGGTTTGTTGTTTAGGGTTGGTTTCGTGTGTTCAGGGTGTATGAATGGTTTGTTTAGGGTTAGTTTAGGGTTAGTTTAGGGTTGTTTTACGTTGATTTAGGATTGGTTTAGGGTTTGTTTAGGTTTAGGGTTTATTGTTTAGGGTTTGGTTTGGTGTGTTTAGGGTTCGTTTAGGGTTTGGTTTGTGTTGATTTAGGATTCGTTTGGGGTTTGTTTAGGTTTAGGGTTTGTTGTTTAGGGTTTGGTTTGGTGTGTTTAGGGTTCGTTTAGGGCTTGGTTTGTGTGTTAGGATTGGTTTAGGGTTTGTTTAGGTTTAGGGTTTGTTGTTTAGGGTTGGTTTCGTGTGTTCAGGGTGTATGAATGGTTTGTTTAGGGTTAGTTTAGGGTTAGTTTAGGGTTGTTTTACGTTGATTTAGGATTGGTTTAGGGTTTGTTTAGGTTTAGGGTTTATTGTTTAGGGTTTGGTTTGGTGTGTTTAGGGTTCGTTTAGGGTTTGGTTTGTGTTGATTTAGGATTCGTTTGGGGTTTGTTTAGGTTTAGGGTTTGTTGTTTAGGTTTTGGTTTGGTGTGTTTCGGGTTCGTTTAGGGTTTGGTTTGTGTTGGTTTAGGGTTTGTTTAGGTTTGGGGTTTGTTGTTTCGGGGTTGGTTTGGTGTGTTTAGGGTTCGTTTAGGGTTTGGTTTGTGTTGATTTAGGATTCGTTTGGGGTTTGTTTAGGTTTAGGGTTTATTGTTTAGGTTTTGGTTTGGTGTGTTTAGGGTTCGTTTAGGGTTTGGTTTGGTGTGTTTAGGGTTAGTTTAGGGTTTGGTTTAGGGTTGGTTTAGGGTTAGTTTCGGGCTGGTTTATGGTTGGTTGCGAATTGGCTTGTCCTGGAACTTGGGGCGCCGGGGTGTCGTGGTGCGAGTTCACGGGGAGGTACCAGAATCCGGGGTTCTGGGCACACCATCTTGGGGCGGGAGGGAGGGGGGTAGCAACACGGAACACGGCACAATATATAATTATCTATATCTATATCAATCTGATCCTATGTTATCTTATTTTAATCCCATCATATCCTGCCTTATGCTGTCTTATCCTATCTCATCCTATATTATCCTATCTTACCCTATCCTATCCTATCCTGTCCGAGAACGGGAAACAGCGGGATTTTTTAAGATTACACTGACCCGACCAGGAATCAACCCCTAGAAAGGGTATCATGCTGCGCACTTTAACAAGGCAATGGTAAAACTTGCTTATGGTTTTGCCTTATAGGTCAAACGGCAAAACAGTAAAACGTAAAACAACAAAACGGTATTACGGTTTTCCTTTATAGGTAAAACGGTAAAACGATAAAAGGGCTTTACGGTTACTGTTCTACCGTTTCACCTAGAACATGAGAAGCGGACCTGCTGGCATCTACCCCGCTGCTAAACCAGCTTAGGCAATCTTGTACGGCTACCTTGCTGTCTCCATCTGAGTCAAAGTTGCTCATGAATTTGCCCTCCTCGAAGGAGGTCATCTGGATCTGCCTGCAGCTCAACATCTTTGGAACCCCTCAAGGATGCCTCACATAAAACACGCCTGCAGTACTCGCTGGATCGTTCCTCGTTTGAAACGCTGATTGTTAAGGAGAGTGCGCCTGATGCGGCAGCCCTTGATGTCAATCTGTCAAAAGGAGGACCCTGTCGGCATCCAAGAAAAGCTTGCATGCCACGCGAGCTTTCATTGCTTGGGTCTTGGAGGCTTCTGATTAAGCGGCGTCCAGGTACTCATGGTCTGGAGTCGGCAAGTTTGCTCACTTTACTCTGACCTCTGTTCTTCGCCATTTCCTTTCAGACTGGAAAGGTCTCACACGCAAGGACCCCAGAATGCCTGGCTTTCGAGACGGGTCGGCTTTTGCGAGGTCCCGCTGGTTGGGTTTGTTTTGAAGCAAAAGGACCATTCAAAAAGATCCCCCAGTCTGGCAATACCCAAACTCTCGACTCTCGCCAGCTAATCAACCTTTCCGGCCTGCCATCGTACTTGCGGTGGCCCATGGCCCGCATGATCTTGGTTGCATCGTCCGTGGTGCAGCACTGAAGGAAGACGTCGCCCGGCTTCAAGCTGACGTTGCCCTTGGACCGCAAAAGCTGAAGGTTTGTTGGCACTGTTCGAATTCGGACATTGATGTCTTTGCACAAGATTGGGCAATCTATCTGAAATATGTTGTTTCATGTACTGTGCGTGGGTGACCTCATGTCGTTGACACCGCAAACGGAAATGGTTAACACGAAACAAATGCAAGGCAAGGCCCGAACAGCTTTCGGAGGACTCCAAAGAAGCCAGGCTCCAAAACTTTGCAAAATGCGATAGGTCAATCAGGTCAGAATGGACAGGCAAAAAACGGCTAGCCTGCGCATGGTGAGGCTTGACAATGGCCACGAAGACCAGCTTGCCATGAGCGCCACAACCCTCCTGCATGTCCTCGGACGCGAGCATGAGGACTCGTTCCGAAAGGCTACCTGGATTGACGATTCTGGCACGGAAGAAGCGAAGGACATGCGTCATTCTCCGTGTTATCCCTGAGGGGTGGGGGGGATACTGAAAAGAATATAGACGGACAGGCGAGAGAGGGAGATAGAGTGACTCATTTGTTCAATTGCTCCGCAATCCAATGCTGGGTTTGCAGGAAACCAGTCATGAACATGCAGCAAAACAAACAAAATGTACCTGCAGGAGCAGTCGCTTTGTCAACTGAAGTCAACCAAAGAAAGTAAGAGCGTGGAAGGTGGCTTGCCACCCACTTGATTGCTGACACCAGGTGAAGCGTTTCCCATGCATCCTCAGTCCTCCTTCACGTCATTGTAGTCATCATCTGTTGTCTTCTCATCCACCTGGCACAATATGTGTAGGCTCTTGTTTCTGGAGCCGAATTCAAAAACTGGAAGGACTGTGGGCCCTCAGCATGAACATCGACATGCACGACGAGCACCAACATTGCCGGATGTTCGCACACACCCTCGCCAAGTACCACACAGGGTTGACTTGCAAAATGTGTCCAGACATTCCAACACATGTTGACCTGCCTTCAGGATCTCATCAATGCGAATCACCGGGCTGGTGGCACTGACCTCTCGGCCAACTCGGAAGTCTTCACTAGCAACACCATTCTTGGAAGTCCCAACCTGCGCTGATGGCAAGGCCAGCATGCCGCCTTGGCCCGGCATCTGCATGCCCACCGGCACGCCGCCGATCATGCCTCAAAGCAGGTGGGGTGGAGCACATTGCTGGTTGGTCAAACTGGCAATCACTGTGGAGAGTGAGCAATTCTGCAGTACGCAACTCTTGTCGCTTGCACTGCACTGGTGTGAAAGATAGAATCCGTCCCCAAAGTTGGGGAGCGGGGTGGAGCGCTTGGTATTTCCGTCGGCCTGCTTGCTGGCCACAAAGGCCGCTACACGACAGCTACACAGCCAGCGACTCACTTCTCTCCGGTTTTGAACTGAGGTCCACACCCAGTGGGCTCACTGCATCGTTGGGCCGCTTGATGGACACAGGCACGCCCAAGACCAGCATGCCATCAAGCTGCAAGGCCTGAGCAATGGTGAAGACGGCCATCCAGGCTCCAGGTACAAACTATTTTCTCCAGAAATGTATTCTCTGGCTGGTTCGCGTATACTTGCCCTGTGTATTGTGTGTGTGTGTGTATTTGTGTGTCTGCGCGCGTGGCGTTTGCAATGTGTTGCGCGGTGTGTCTTTGCGTGCGCCGCGTGTGTCTCTGTGTGCGGTGTGTGCGTGTGTGGTGTGTGTGGTGTTTGCGCTGTGTGTGAACGGTCTGTGTGTGTGTGTGTTCGTGCGCGATGCCCGCGCGCCATGTGCAGCGCGTGTGTGTGTGTGTGTGCGGTGCGCGCACGCTGTGTGTGTGTTGTGTGTGTGTGTGTCTGTGTGTGTGTGTGTCTGTGTGTGTTGTGTGTGTGTGTTGTGTTTT